AACACAGCTTAAACGATGTTCACACTTATGAAAAATAAATAAATAAATAAAAACAAAAAAATTGAGAGGATTATAAATATAATAAATACAATAACAATAAAGTTTGGTACTGTAAGGGTGGAAGAAATGGTTTATTTAGTAGTGCAAAGAAGGTTAGTTAGTTAGTTCATGCCTGACATTATTTTAATCGCATAAAGTACGTGCTAAATATGGTATAGTGGAATTTTTATACTTAGACGTACGTGCGTAAATTCTTCTAAAAAGACTTCTTGTTTACATGAGGAGACAAAAGGTCGGAGCTGTGGGTAGAGTGGGTACTCAGAGTCTGATAAAATTCCTGTAGCAAATTTGTTATATGACATCAAGGGCCTATCTGTGACAATGTCAACGATATGGCCCAATGGGATACTACTCGTCCTGCTGACAGTCTTCAGAGTTCTACGAAGTACGACATAGTCTTTTTTAAGCAATCCAGGAAAGAATAAGCAAGGGTGAACAGTAAAGAAGAATAGGTAAAATACACGAGTTGACAAATTGTAAGAGGAGGGGTTGAGTTATGTATGAGTGCCTTCACCTCTTCTTAATGTAAAAAGTCAGACAAAATATTCTTTTAGAAATCGCTAAGACATGGGAAGACCAGGATAGGTCAGAAGAAAGAATTAATCCAAGATACTTAACTTCAGACTTGTTTTCTATATCAGTGTCATCAATTTTGCAAGGGTCATAGGAACCAACGGCTTCATCTAACTTTCGTTTGCATCGGAAACTGAAATTAACAGTCTGCATACTGTTTAATTATTTTAAACTAAGATGAAAAAGCTATCCGGTAATTTTTGTTTTTCTCTTAACCAACTTTTAGTCAATATCATTGTTTGTGATAAATGTCTTTACTATAAACTGTCCAAGTGAATGAAATTTAGCACTGGTAGAATGAAATCTCAATTCATCTATCGACTGTTAAATAGGATATATAATTTGAAAGGTTGTTTACTGAGTAAGGAATATTCTTCTCGATGACTTCATCATCAGGTTCTACAGTTATATGCATCCACAATAGTGAATGAATTAGTGTTATTAACAACATTAACATTGTTTAAATAACTTCGAATCAATAATAGTAATATCAATGAATTAGAGTTCGAAAGCGTCAACTTAACAGTACACTGAATATCAGAAGAATTAGGGAAAATAATAATACACATTCCTGAATTTATAGTCTCCACTGAAGGCCAATCAGGGCAGTAGTAATGTCTGGTTGGACTTGCTTCTTCTGTACGTAGAGCACCGGTTGTTTAAGGCGAATCGTGATAGCCTCTGCTGTTTGGAGTAGACGGTGCCTGGGTGTTTTTGACAATTTATTTGGTACCCGGCAGGTGACAGAGACGGATTCTTCAATGCTGGCTTTGTGGCCAATTTGGACCAGGCGGTCTAATATCGAACTGTTGGTGGTTTTTGCTACGCCTTTATTTAGCCACACTGGTAGATGTTCCCGAGTGAGCACGAAAAATTAAATTCCTGGAGCAACAGCCATTATAACTAGCTCCACAGGCGCAGTTGAACTGATAGTTAAAATTAAAAGTGGCTAGTTTGCGTACTTCATCTTTCATTTGGAGAATCACCATCCGTCGGGTGGAACACAACTACATCATAATAAGATTTGCAGTTTGCCAGCATTAAAATTTCTCTGAATAGATTCTCTTAGTCCCTTCGTAATTGTTTCGCTAGGTGTACTGCCTTTGAAATGCAGTCTTATGTATAATGGCTTCTTGTTTACGGATAGTGAATAGTCTCTTTCAACTTTCTTAGTCATACTTTTCCTGATGAATTTGTCTGGATAGCTATTTTCAATCAAGGTATCATATACTATCCTACGTTTAGTCTTCAATTACCTCTTCTGAGCATATAGCTCTAACCATGTGGCCCAGTGGAAATTAAAGCGCTATTGGCAAGTACAAAATATCATAACCCAAGTAAATGACTTACTGACTGACTTAGTGCAACCAATCAGAATAGTCATATGATAATTATTAATTCCTTTTCCATCGGCCTCCTGTTACTCTTTCTTTTGTATCCACTTTTATACTACTTACTACTAGTAAGTAGTCTGAGTCTCTACTCGTTTTTTCATAACACGACCATTGTTATTGCAGTTTAACCCAATGTATTAATACTCCTTTTGATATATGGTAACTGTTTGTCTATAGGTAAACATTACCTGCTGTATATGCTTCATTTATATGCCCTATTTGGCTTTTTGTCTGTCGAAATTACACGTGTATTGATGTACACAAGTTGGACGACCTTATTTTGGACTTCGACTTTCTACTTGGAAACTCTTTGTCTTCTGTTTTCATCATTTTTTCCAACCCCTTTCCAATTTTTCGTCTGGATTTCGTATTACACTTAATATTTTATCCTGTGAATTGTACTCACAGTAATATACGATTATCATCTTTCCATTTGACTTCGTACACATCTAATTTTGTCTTTCCAGTCTCATGAGTTTATTACCGCTGATTACGCGATTATCACTGACTTATCACCGTTTTTCGCGAAAAAACTCCTCTTTTATGATGTATTTATTAATAATTTCGGATGACCTTATCATCCTTATGTTTTGTTTCACTATAACTTCCTTACAGCTATCCCTACTAGAGGACTGATTCCTGTTTATAAAGAAAACGTAAGTCAAAACTGCGTTATACCAGGTTTTAGAAAACAGAAGTATTGAGCGAACAAATATTTACTTTTCAATTAGATTCTTATCTCTGGTTCTACTCTAATATATATAGCATTTTAATTACAATACACAACAATTTACCAATCAAGTGGCACTGATATGTTTGTTAACAATAATTAGTCAGTGTCAAAATGTCAATGGGGTGATAATTAACGAAGAAAATTAATATATATAATTAAAAGGTGGAAATGATTACAACACGTGGACTGCATAATGCATAATTTTGAAAACGTTGATTACGTAACAGATTGTTAAAAAAAATCAAACGATTTGGACAATGATAACTTGTAACTAAGGCTGAAGTGGTCATAAGATTAAAATAATTTTTACAAGGATAACACGTAATTAAAGGTAAAGTAGTCAGAAAAAATAAAATAATTTGGACAATTACAATTTTTATAATTTTAAAAGGTTTAGGGGAAGGTGGGGGGTGAAGTAGTCCGGTTTATGCATTTATGTAACGGTGGCCAAGGTAAGAAAGTGGCTGTACAAATTTCTTCTGAACGCAGGTGGATTCCTATTGCCTCAGCTGTATGCAGAAGAAGAACTCGTAAAGCAAAATTAAGATAAGTAGGAATGCGATAAATAATTTTAAATATCGTATTAACGTCAACCTTATGCTCACTATCTACAAGGTGGGCTAAAATAAAGCTACGAATAGATCCTGTTTGTCCCTTCCTTAACCGTGCTGGATGATGTTCGGAAATACGATGATGAACCTGGCTAACTGTACGCCCGGTTTTATTATTAAATATTATTACTATTTTTTTTATTAAATATCACAGGTTGTACGGAGATGAACACAGTCGACTAAATAAAATGAATTCATATTATTCTGCGCTAGGGTTTGTTCTATATCTGTTTGAATATCATCTCGTTGGACAACTTTGAGTACCCATTTGCTACACAACTGTCGCCTTCCATTGCATCTCGTTAGACAGAATTAGGAGCAGTTAAGACTTTACGCTTGGAGGACTAAATACAAGAACTCAGCGATACCTTAATTGGCACGCATTTTATGTGATGAAATTAATGACTTACTGCAAAACAACAAAGTAAACGGGGCTTTTTATTCTCTCTGTTATTATTATATTGTTGTCAATATTCCTAGCAATATTCTATTTCTATTGAACATTAATATTAAGGTAAACAATTTATTAATTGTTTTCCCCATTAATATGTAATGCAAAGAGAATAAAGCTTATGTTATTATTGCTATTATTATATGCTGTGCCATTCGAGATTAACAATAGTTGCCATCAGAGATTCATGCATAAGTACGGAAGATGTGAAGGCTCTAATGTCAAACAAATCATCACAGTGGGAAGAAATCCTGTCTCTGCTCATTTCGATTTTAAAGGGGATAGTATCACAGGTATAAACAATAGAAGACTGAATTTCTCACTAGCCGGAGTCTGACCTGCAGTTAGACAACCTGCTCCTCTTTGTTGCAGTCAAAAGTCGACAGATACCCTTTTCATGTTAACTTCAACTGTGTATACAAATTTACATTTATCTTTGGTAGCAGTTACATTGGGAGAACAGAAAAAAGGACATACCTTGGATTTTCTGAGCATGTACCAAAAAGCCTACGTCTGAGGCGAACAAATGCTTTCAACCGTGACGTTACCACGGATCTCCTTGATACGGGTCATGAGGTGGACGTCACCAGATCGTTTAAAATTTCCACTTGGTAAAAAGAGTTCAATTTTCCTTAAGTTTGCCGAAGCGGTCTCCATCATGTGCCTGGAACCCGATTTATGTGTGCAGAAAGAAGCGGTTATCAGTATTTCTTTACTCTGGTAACTTGATATTTTTATGCTATCTTTCATTTGATTACCTGACGTCAAAAAACTCAATATGTATGATTATTGTTGTTTGGGATAAGGTGATTGTTACTATTATTACTTTTCGTATGCATATTTTGATTTTGTTTAAAAATGAACTCTTTGTGTAAGCATGTTAAAATTTTCTCTGTATGTAAACTTAATAATGTCTTTAGGCTGTAAGCAGATGATGAGAAGTCAACAAAATAAGCAATGATGGTACCATTTCACTCTATTCTAACTGTTGTTTTCTTGCTTTATTCAAATTCATAAAGGGGAATAAATGTATGAAGTTAACGATTCAATTCATCATGTGACTGAATATTTATTGATTGGACTAATGTTTTAAAGTTTTATTCCTTGTACGAAGATACTTTCCTAAAAAGATAAATCACTTTTGTTTTATGAAACGATAGTATTCATTTTGAACTGAAATGCCATCGCCTAAATCAAAGAGTAGTAAACGTTCTCCAAAAGGATCACCAAAAAAATCACCACAGAAGAAAACTTCACCAAAAAATTTAAAATCAGGTATTAAAGAATTACAAGAAGATTATGCACAGTGTGAACCAAATGCAACGTGTTATTTATGCTTAAAAAAATTTAAAGATCCAGCTGCAGTTCAAGCTCATATTATTCTTATGGATCATTTTCCACCATATACCAATGAATTACAACAATGTCGAGCGTGTCGTTCAACTATTATGGTAAAAGATACTGAAACGCATAAGTGTGCTGTCATGAAAGCGATATACATACGTTTTATGTCAGGTTCATCTAATCTTTTCTATGGACCACCGTATCGATGTCTTTATTGTCGTAGTAAACCAATGGGTTCGCGAATTGAACTAGTCATACATTTACTTTGTTATCATCGCCCGAATAAATCGACTGGACGATGTGGAATGTGTAATTTCACCTATGATGAACCTTCACAACCACCTCCACCAAATCTACCAAATTTACCAGCAAATGCAACTGAAGAACAAAAGCGTGCACATGAAAAAGAGTTAAGGACACTGAAAGAAATTCAAATGTGTGAACCATCAAATGTAGATTCTCAAGGATTAGCTAATCTGAATGCGCATATTCTATACGATCATGTCCCGGCTTATATGTTATGGAGTCGAAGAAATATTTTAGAAGATACTTTCTTGCGTTATCCATATGCTTGTCCACTGTGTAGTTATTTAATAAACTCCAATTATGAATTACACGCGCATGTTTTATGCGCTCATGGCAATCCAACGACAATACAAAATGAACTGAAAATATGCGCAATGTGTGGTGTATCTGCTGGGACAGATGATGGCCTGAATAAACATATTGCAGCGCACACGGATCCGATTAAACGACTAGGTAATATTTGGATAAAACGTGAATTGTTAATGAATTACACCGATCCAGGATCTGTTTGTATTTATTGTTGGGAGAATTTTAAGCATGATTTTCAACTACAAGCACATCTACTAGTTGCACACAACACAAAAAACTCTCTACAATGTGGTTGGTGTAAAATAGACTTTCTGTCGTATTCAGATCCGGTGTTAGCATTTATGATGCTACAGAATCATGAATTAAATCATGGTCGTACATTACATGAAGTTGCACTAGGCTTGAATATGACTTATGAGCCTTTAAAAGATCTACTACCTGAAGTATTTGATAAACAGATATTAGTCAATGCGAGAATGGGTATTACTGGTGCAAGACCTGATTCTCCTGGTCGTAAGGGTAAAAAATCACCGAAATCAAAGTCACCTCCAAAGTCAAAGTCACCGAAATCGAAATCACCTCCGAAGTCAAAGTCACCGAAAAGTGGTTCAAAGAAGAAATAATTTTCAAGCTTTTATGCTGTTTTCTATCAAAGATACTCGGTGTTTTCTTTGTCAATTTGCATTCAATGCCTTAGTTTATTTTGTTTTTAATCCCTTCAATTTGACTATACTTTGAAAATTCCCTTATCCATGGATAATATGCATTTTAAGAATGCAATAAGCAAATACATTGTCCGTTACTATTTTATACAGTTTTAGCACCATTAGATTGTTTCACAAAGCTGGAATTCAGTAGATTTTAAACGTCGTCTATTATTAAACAGCATTTCAGACTATATGCTCTAGATAGGTTCGTGGTATAGATAGGTTGACTGTGTATGATATAACCAGAATTCTTTAGTCAATTTGTTTATGACAGCAATTTAGAAGTGGTGAAAAAACATTAGGTATAAGAAATCAATTATTGTAGCACTACTTGTGCTATGCACGACTTATAATCATAACGGTTCTAATCTCCTGACAGATGAGAGTAACAGTCAGGCACAACTCACTTATTCAGATTAGACTCTGTCGAATAGGAAGTGTGATTGTTAAGTGTTGGTTTGCAAGGATTTTATTGATTTCAAGAATGATCACGAGCCGACTTCAGTTATAGAACAGTTAAAACCGAGGAGTGCTGGTCAGATTCTTGATCCTTGTTTAGCGCTCTAAAGCAGTACACACACACATGGTCCCACTAGGCTCATGCTCAAGAAATTCAGGTTACAAGGCGAGCTCGCCGACTGTTCAGTAGGTGGGGGGGGGAATCCAGCGGTTCATGAATTGTAACTTCTGCCAATCCATGAAATGAATAGCGTGACTGCCAAACAATGTCATCGGCGAATATTCATCCTTACACTCAGCTTAGTGGACGTTCACCTTATATACCGCGCACTGACAGAAGTTTGAACTGATGAGCCTTTGCATTTGGTCCCAGTAGCTGAATGGTCTACATGCTGGTGTCTTAGACTGAAAGTGTTCAGTTCTTTCCCTTCGTGGGCTGACATACGTGTGCTGATGAAGAGTCCCAAAAGTAGGCGAAACAACTTTCCAGTACTCCTTAGTTTTCATTGATTCTCTAATTGAAATCATTTTGTGATCAAACCTGAAATGTGATCTTACTTCTCTCTTCTAGAAGATCATTTAGAGTATAGGTATATCTGATAGTAGAGTTCAGTGAATTAATATCGATCCTTTAGAGAATCACTAAATTGGTACATGTTACCTTAGAGTATAAGAGCGTTTCTATAAAACACTATGCTATCCGCCAATCATCTGTATTTCTGGTTAAAAGAAGCTCATATCAAAGCTATTCTCCATCACTATCCGGAGAATAGACAGCAGGTTGTCATAGAAATAGTGTCTGGCTGTGAGTCGATCACTCAGCTGAGGTCTGTTCATTCCTAAACACTACATTAGTTATCACCAGTGTGAACTGATAAGTCTTACATTATTTATCTGTGCGTGAATGACAGTACTTACAGTTTGTTAAGCTATCTAGGTGGACAAATGTGCAAAACCACTAAGTTGTTTAATTTGCCGAAAAACTACACCGAATTTCTGGTTAGTTGGTTTTAAATGGCATTATTAATCAAATTATCTGACTATTTCCTATAGTATGACCTTATTAGTCATCTTCTGCAGTAGAAGTGTGGTATCGGTAATTTGAAACGAGGCAAAGCGGCAGGACCCGACGGAATTATTCCGGAGATGTTTAAATATGCGGGTGACATACTAGTATGTAGATTAACTAAGGTACTAGGCGACGCCTGGGAACTAGAGACGGTTCCATCAGACTGGGGTAAGTCACTTATTATACCGATATTCAAGAAAGGAAACAACTCCTCTTGTGATAATCATAGGGGGATCAGCCTAACGAACATAGTCTCTAAAATCCTAGGCTCAGTAATCATGCACAGACTAAGCAGAACTCGGGAAGAACAAACGAGGGAAAATCAAGCAGGCTTTAGACCAGGTAGAGGGTGCATAGATTATATCTCCACTCTCGACAGATTCTAGAACATAGACACACTTTTCGGTGTCCAACAATTGTCATATTTCTCGACTTGAAAGCGGCCTTCGACTCTGTGGATCGAAAGGTACTATGGCAATGTCTGACTGTGAAGGGAGTGCCAAGAAAGTATATCGTACTAATCAAGGCACTCTACTCAAACTCACGTAGTCGTGTAAGGGCTTATGGGGAATTGTCATCTGAATTAGTAACAACCAGTGGTGTTCGACAGGGATGTCCACTTTCCCATTTCTGTTTAACTTCATCATAGATATGCTAATGGAAGTATCCTTAATTGAACGTAACGACTTAAGAATCGACTTGTTACCAGGAAGTAGTAGTCTTATGGACTTAGAATATGCAGATGACATAGTCCTGTTAGGGGAGGATGCTGACAAAATGCAGAGTCTTCTGAACACCTTGAGCAGCAATCTTCGTTTGTTTGGCATGTCATTCGCCCCTGCAAAATGTAAGATGCTGCTACAGGACTGGACTACGTCAACTCTTAGCTTAGTGATAGGGAGTGAAGTGGTAGGACATGTTGACGACTTCACCTATTTGGGAAGTTGTATCAGCACCAACGGACTGATTGGCGACGAAATCTCAGCACGGATCCAAAAAGCTCGAGCTGCTTTCGCTGACTTACACCATCTCTGGCGTAGGCGTGACATCCGGATATCAACCAAGGGACGTGTGTACTGCTCATCAGTTCGCTCCGTCCTTCTCTATGACTCTGAAACATGGTCAATACGAGTTGAAGACATGAAAAGGTTGACTGTTTTTGATCATAGATGTCTACGATCTCTTTCTCACGTTAGGTGGTATAATAAGGTAAGTAATGTTGACGTTAGGCGTAGAGTGTTGGGCAAGGAGGGAAAATCAATCAACGAGGCTGCCCATGCCTACCCATCGCCTCCCCCGACAGGCATTACTAGCTGATATAGGTGCAGGTTGGAAAAGGGTAAGTGGTGGCCAAACAAAAACATGGCCTCATCAATCCATGAAATCCTTGACAGTTAAACTGAGTCAGGTAGGGAGGGAGATGCAGACTTCCGGGTTGGGGCCCTCGGGACTCTAGAAATCAATGGCTGGAGACAATAGGTGACATGGCTCAAAATCGTTGTCAATGGCGCAGATGTGTTCAGTCTCTGTAATCTTTCATATTCCTTTCTACCATTGCCCATTCTGTTTGACTCTTATACTTGTGAAACTCTATTGATTCTCTTTACTCATCTTCTTGTCTACCTCTGTGTGGTATTTGGAACGTGGCAACTGGAACTGCTGTACTTCGGTGCCAAGTTCTATGTATAATCCAGACAGACATACAGATTCTTATAGGTGTTACCGGTAATAAGACAAACTTTTTCATACGGAAATGACTTCCTTGAATGCCATAATTAAGGTTCTAGTAGACTTAAAGGCATATCCCCACTATTTTCATAAGCAGAACAGGTGTGACAAATCACTGAATAATAGGAGGAAGTACAGCTTAGCAAGGAAAGGGGGAAAGAAATATCCAATACAGCAGGAAATAAAGGACTTAGAATGGTGAATAATCCTCCAAATTTATTCGTTTACAAAATTCTAAAACTCAACACTGGATTCTGACCTCCACTATTTAAGACGACTCATGAAGCTAAAAGTTCGCGGTCAAGCACACGCTGTATTCGGTCCGCTGTCATATTACATACGGTTGTTCGTGCATGATCCCTCGCAAGCTAAGCAATAATCATCACACCATGATTCTGATTTAAAATGCATCTCGTGCTTTGGACGATCAGTTCGGTATTTTGATTTGTCTTTGGTCTATGCAGAATAAGTACCATAGGAGATGGAAGATGTGAACACTTGAGTTTCTGTACAGAGTATCTTGGGTAATTGTCGGCTTCATTCATTTACTAAAGAACTCCCTTAAAGAAATAAAATAGAAGGTTTCAGAATATAGAAACAGAACAAAAGAATGTACTTTATGATGAACAAACACACTTTTCTAGGATGTCTAGCCACAGAGTTCGTAATAAATTTTATACAGAGTTATAGAGGCTTGCAGTTTTCTCACGTAGGTCGAGTGAAATGTTAACGACTTTTTGCCACATGACATTTATGAATATTGTTAAACATCAGGACTATTATTAGGGCAGGAACGAATTGCAATGACATTTCAGCCGCTACATTTAAATCAGGTTAACAACTAACTTTTTATATTCAGAATTCAAAATAGTTTTGAATAAATCACAATTCAACAGCAGGAGATAAGTAATGGCTTTCCTGTAAACTATATTTTGTTTTACTTCATAGTTACAAAACGGCAGCACTAAGTTACTTGGAGACATGAGTTCCTTCAAGACTACAGGCAAACCTTTGATAGGATCCTACATAACGTAGTATATCATCGTCTGTCATGCATGTTGTGATTAATTATTCGTTCAGTCATTTCTCACGTCTATGAGGCTGACTTTATTGCTGTGAAGAAAATGTATAAATACCGTGTGCTGTTTTCCTAATAGTTGTTGTTGTGATTACAATATGCAGTCACAGGCCAGCCTTTGTCTTTTGATATTTGCATGGCTTAGTGATTCAGAAGTTACCATAGGCAGATAGGCATATCAGCCAGGCGCAGACAGAACAAAGTGACTGCGTTTATCATTCAATTCAGTATCAGATATAACAAATTGGTGACGAGGTTATTTCAGTTCACTGAAGTTACAACACCTTGCTGATGAGCGCCAGCAAGCACGAAATCTAAGTGCAGAGCTTTTTTCCGACCGCTTTTAACCACATAACGTCAGTTCAGAGTTCATACCGATGACCAGCCAACTAGGTTGAGTGGTAGAATTCAGTCTGCACCAAAGGAAGGACTAGACGTTTGACATTGGTTACCCCCCATTGGACAATCAAAGTAGAGTATGATTACACTGTTATTTTGCTGAAATATGAGAAATAAGTAGTACGGTAATAAGAAAGAATCACAAGCTAAAACAAGCAATAAATGTTAATTAAGCAGGATTTA